TGACGTCATCATCATTTTTGCAAAGACATGTATATCAACACTGGTGCAGTGTAATACTAAAAATAATGGTAATGTATTCCAAAATTCCGGGAAAATGGAGTTTGCCGTTTCTGACTTAATCAATAAAATAAATTGATCCATTCATTAATTTTTTGAACCACCTGTATAACCCAATCTAAAAAATATGAATGCAATGATAAATCACAAGCAAAAATTCATATTCTGCACATTCTCATAGAATTTATTGGGGAAAATTTTGAGATAACGACATCAATTTTTTGGGGGAATAAAGATATATATTTTGATTAACAATTTACCATGCTTACAATAACTTTAAAACTTCTGCAAGATTTCAAAGTATTCAGTTTTGCAATTCTTATTTACTTAATAAAATAAATTGAGTGATTCATCAATTTTTTTTGAGTCACCTTGTATAAACAAATCTAAAAAATATCAGTTCAATGATAAATTACAAGTATAGACTGATCATAGTTTGCAGATTTTAGACAGGATATATCTGGCAAAATTTTGAGCTGACGTCATTAATTTTTTGGAGGGGATAAGTAAATATATTTTGATTCAAAATTAAATTGCAAAATGAAGATTTTTCTTATTTTTTCGTACTCTAGGGGTCATGAAAGGTCGAGTAAACGAAAAAGTAGACGGTCGGCCGACAAAGTCGATTACAATACTTCCTTCGCCTACGCTCGGGAAGTAAAAAGCACCGCACAAAATAAATTGGGTACTAACTTTTGATTACGGCACAAAACATTATCTCACAATGATCACTAGTGTACTTTCGCATAAGAAATAAAGTACCAAATTTTGGTTTTCTAATTTTATAATAGATGGTTAAACTCTAAATAAAATTTGGATAATTATCCGCACCATCATTGGAATGACGTCATATAATATATTTTTTCTTAAATTGTATAAAATAAGATACTCCTGCACTTGTGGTGTGTGAATCCGTGTAGAATTTTCACCCTGGAATCCAGAATTTTGTAAAAAATTTTAACATATAGGGGTTCTCATAAAATAAATAAAATCCGCATATTCAAATTTTATAATTTTTCGAAAAAGCTGCATTTGTTTTATTGCATTTCACAGGCGAGGAAAGTTCTGTCGTAATAACCTTCGACCAATTTTTTTCATTCAAAATACATTCCGAGAGGTAACTAGGTACCTACCTAAATTTCTAAGATTTTGGGTTGGAAAAACCCAAGATTACAATGAAATGCAATAAGATATCTACAATAAAATATTCTTGCAAATTTTACTTTTCTATTCTATCTACTTACAGAACAACACATAAGTACAATTTTTGTAGAAACAGGAATTAAAAAATAAGTGTGAGGATTATGGTCGGAATTATGTATACGAACACGCATTTTTTTGTTATGTGCATTGGAACTAAAGATCTCATCAGTCTCTGACGATGATTTTATTAATTTATTTTAAAACACACATTTGGCTTTTTTTCATTTCTAAGGACAGTAAATTAGGTTAAACCACATATCAAAAATTTGTCTTTCAAGGGACTATCACTTTATGCTAAAAACAATAGGTGCTATTTAAAAAAAATATGGATGACGCCATACACCTGTCAAATATAGCTCAAAAATTTTGAAATGAATGTTACAAAATGGCAATTTTTATATACCAATTGACGTGTTTTTGCGTTTTTACTGCCCGAGCGTAAGCTGAGAAATAGTGTTTTCTTTCGTAGTAGATAAATATTTTAGTTCAGTACTCTGTTCTACCAGCAAGCCGAGAAATACACTTTCCCAGCTGACAATAGGAGTAATAAAACTATTGTTAACGAAGCGAACAATTTTAACCCTTAGAGATGAGTGACAGCTGTCATAACTTGGTAGCATGGGTTGATTTACAAGTTGCATATTTCCCAGAGGTGAAATTTTCTCGCGGTGCCGTACAGCCTTAAAGAAAAAACTCAACCCAAAAATGCGGGATACGTTTCATTGTATTTTAGGTCCGAGGGAAGTTCTGTGAAACAAATTTCGATAATTTTTTTTTGTGTTCAAATATTTACGCTGATTCGTGACATTAATAATTAAAAGCAATATTTAAAGGTCGTCCTCAATATTTTGTATTTTATTTACCGCGCTTTTCCAACCTTGGGGTTCACCACTTTGCATTAGAATGCATTCCACCACAAAAAAAACACGACGTAGGGTTCCGTTTTGTTGATGATCACAGTTCAAGGCCATTTTTTTTTAGCGAGTTTTTAAAATTTTGATGATTGGGAAGGCACCACTGCCACTGCACTGTCTCAATCTCAAATGCAGTACAGCCTTCGGTTTTGAATCACGTTTCCGTCTTTGCGTTTGTGGTTTCGACACTTTAACTTCAATTTTTCCGTTACGTAAGCGAAAGATGTCACACTGATAGTGATAACTAGTTACCAATTATAAGTATCAAACGTCAAACGGAAACTTAACAAATGAGCTTAGAGTGTAATCTAGACTGATTTGTGGTGCTGGTTTTGTATTTTGAAATTGCAAAACTATATTTAAAGTTTAAGGAATTGGGTTCACCAGACTTATGCTTTAAATTAAAGACATGTGTAGACAGCTGTGGTTATATCTACAAAAAAAAAAAGAAATGTGGCCCAAAATCTGTCTACATTTTTTTAAATGAAGACAAGATGAAAAAAGTGAATAATAATAAAAAAATTCATTTTGATACAAAATGCAGAGTATATCTTGTTTTCAAAGCCACTGCGATTACGATCCAGATAAGAAACAAGGTTCGACTGTACACAACTTAAAATATTTGCCTACTTAGAATTTTTAATTTTGTGAGCTGAATCGTATTAAGCAACATTTATCAGTTTTATCTACTTATCGGTGCCTAACTACGTGTCATCAACCACGTTCTTACGATTTTATTTCACCAACCCAATATTTTGAAAACACTTGGCTGGGGAGTTTTTCTAAGTTTAGTTTAGTCAGCTTCTGTTATGTAACTCCTTAAATTTTATGAATTAGGATTAAGTCGTAGAGCTTTTGCCCCCCACAGTGAAAATGTGATTTATTGTTTCGTAGGTTGGCTACTGACGAGCGTAACACATTCGAGTGACTAGACATAGGGAGTACTTAAATGTATATGCATTTTGTTAAATTGGAAACAGAGTTAATTATTGGAAGTAATAAATATTTATAAAAGATAAACATACGTATCTACGTAGTAGATATCGGAATACTTCAATTAAACAAAAGTGTTTCCAAGTATAGATATAACATTTTTATCACAAAAAGATTATAACACCCCTCTTTTCCAGTCGGAGTTTAATAAATCAGTACCAAAAATATAGAGCTTTAACTTAAAGTTTCCTACGATAAAAATGCAAAGGGTACTATACAAAGACTGGGCCAAGATCATCAAAAAAGGTTATAAGTACAAAAAATGTATTTACAGCACATTATCAACAGGAATATATTACATCGGAAGAATGTCACCTAGACATTTGTCTGATTTCAATGAGTTTATAGCCCCAAAACACATAACTAAAATTATTCATAAGCCTCCATTGAACAAAATATTCTGAATGTTATTATTACAATGCTTGCCTAATCATTATTTTATTGTTATAAAGACGAGCGTATGAGAAAATGAGGTAGATCGTTCTTAATTTGATCAATAATAAATTGACTGATTCATTAATTTTTTTGAGTCACCTGTATAAGCAAATCTAAAAAATATGAATGCAGTGATTAAAAGTCTGTTCATATTTTGCACATTTTCGAAAGAATTTATTCGGCAAAATTTTGAGATGCCGTAATCAATTTTTTGGGGTTGATAAACAGATACATTTTCATTAAAAAGTTACCATGCTTAAAATAACCTCAAAACGTCAAAATTTCAAAGTATTCAGTTTTGCAATTCTTGATTTAATCAATAAAATAAATTGACTCAGTCATTAATTTTTTTCACACACCCCATACACACATTTAAGATTTTTTCGGAAAAATTTTGGGGTGGCGTGATAAATTTTTTAGGGGGGATGAGCAAATATATTTTGATCAAAAATTTACCATGACTATGATAACTGTAAAACATCTCCAGGATTTCAAAGCATTCGGTTTTGTAGATTCCAAATTAAATGTCAAAATGTTTCCTAATTTTTATTTTTTTTTTCCAAAAATCTGGACGTTTCAGGTAAAATCTCAATTCGGAGTCATAAACTACATGTGTAAGACTATGTTATTTGATACAATTTAAAACCCATTTACTATGTACGATTTTGAAGTGACGTCATCACATTACTGGTGGGGATGATTAGACAAATTTATAATATAATACAAAATTTGAGAACAAAATTTGAGAACAATCGGCCCAGTACTTTCGGAGATTATCTGTCTAATAAAAATCCAGGACGGCAGACAGACGGACAGACAGACGGAAACGGGAGACCTATTTTTTCGTCCTCTAGGGGTCACGATAGGTCGAGAAAATGCAAAAGTAGAGAGTCGGCCGACGGACTCGACTACAATACTTCCTTTACTTACGCTCGGGAAGTAAAAAATACAAAACTTGGAACAAAATTTAAAAAAATAACAATATAATTTTTATCGAGCAACAGCGGTAAAAATAATAAATAATAAAAACAGGATGATGCACCGTACAGTAAATAGATAAGTGATAAGTAAAATACGTTATCTACTCCACGTTTACAAAGACAAACATTAGGTCTAACCTGATAACGTTGGATTTTATCACAGTATTTCAATACTAGATATATGATTTAAATTTAGTGAAAAAAGAAAAAATACACTTTGACTAATAATAATTTTTATTTTGATACTCCTCTCTTTATTAATTTAATAACGATAACAAAAATAATAATGTCTTCAACAATAGTGATAATAAATGTGCCACAGGGAATTCCTCATACTCACGTCATTAATCTAATCTCTCAAAAAGTTGCAAGTATCTTTGAAAAGGTTATAAATGAGTAAACCGATAAGAAATTCCCCGTTTATAAATATATCACGTCTCCCAGTATTGTAAACGTTGTGACAAAATATAGTAAATGCGAAAGAACTTACTCAAATTATAAATAGTTTTCACATCTGCATAGAAAAATGGAAAAAGATGATGATGTAAGTACACATTAATTTAGTTAATTTGTTTTATTTTGGTCGCAATGCTTAGACCTGATAACACATTTTTATTGTTACAATAATTAAACAAAATACATACATAAACTCTTCCTTGTTGTGAGAATCTTCAATTTTTACTTCTCCAGCGTAAGCTCAGAAAGTATTGTAATAGGGTCCATCCGGGAAATAGCTACTTTCAAATTTTATCGACGGATCATGACACAGAGTACGAAAAAGTACATCCGTTGTTATTAGACTGATAACGTCCGAAACTTCTGGACCGATTGTTACCAAATTGGACACGCAATCTCAGACACTACTGCACTGATCATTTGTTAAATTTTGTACGTTTATTAGGAATATCATGTAGATGGTTAACCGCTGACCAAAATTTGTCTAATCATCCCCACCGACAATTTGATGACGTCATCTCAAACAATTCTATTGTGAAATGGCTTAAATGTCATTCAACAATATACTCCTAAACTTGAAATGTACGAATCCGCTTTGAATTTTTTCTCTAAACGTCAAAATTTTCGCAAAAACATCAGTAAAGTATAACGTTTTATTATCAACACGCATATAAGTCGTGGTAGAAGTTTTGGTTATTGAGGAGAACGCCGACCTGCGGTTGCACGTTCGATGCCAAACTTGGCCGCTTATTTTTTTCTCTTGTTTTTTTCTTGCGTTGGTAATGCTCTGTAGTAATATTTATCTTAATTATGTATGTTGTCATGTTAAATTATATATATTTAATAGTGACAAAATAAGGATTATAATATTCAGAAAATTGTGTTCGATTGTGGTTTAATTAATACTCCTCTGTTTTGAGGAGACGAACTCATATTTAAATCAAACTAATTCGCTGTTTACACATGAACACTTAAAGTAAGCCTGTTATTAGTGCTGAGAAAAATTTTATCCCGTTAGTTATCTGCTTTAAATATATTTTACATTGTCTGTACTTGGGAGCACAAATTCCAAGATTTCAAGGGCGAAATAACCTTCCATCAATTTTTTTAACTGTAAACATATGCAAATTTCAAATAATATCATGATTTGTTAAAATCAGTCTTTTCTTAGTAAGTACTAGCCCCGCCCACCCGCTCCGCCCATTATTTTCTTGGAGGGTACGTCATTTGCCAAAATCAGTTTTATCTTAGCAGGTACTACCCCCCTGCACCCGCCCTGTGTTTTCTTAGAAATTATGCCATTTGCCAAAATCAGTCTTGTCTTAGCAAGTACAAGCCCCACCCACCCGCGCTGTTCTCATTCTAACGACAAATTTTATTTCTGTTCACTATAAGATTCATCTTTCATTCAGACTATAATAAGGCAATCACTGAAATGGAGACAGGGTGGGTGGGCGGGGCTTAATTTGTTCTTCTCTCAAGTAGGACTGGAAATTAATTGAATCTAGGATGTGAAAAAAAAGTTATAATCGTAACTTTTTTGTTATACTCTTTTCTATAACATTTATTTCTTATTGGAGAGGAAAAAAAGAGAACAGGTGGGTGGGTGGGGCTAAGTTTAAATTTTTCGAAAAATAATCCTAAAATTGAAGAAACGGAAAATTTAAAAAACAAAGATTCGGAAGTTCAAATATCGAAAAATTGAAAATTTGAATACTGAAAACTAAAAATATTGCAAATCGAAACACTGAATAATAAAAAACTACAAAATAAAAATCTAAAAATAGAATATTTGAAACAAATCCGAAAAATTGAAACATTTTAAATTAGAAACAATAAAAATTTAGACATAAAACTGAAAAATATGAAACAAAAAAATAAAAAAATTTAATATATGTATACATATTTGATAAAATCGAAGAATTCAAAAATTTAAAAAATTAATAATGGAAACATCACACGCTTTCTTGTGATGTAAATGAAATCAACTTTTCTTATACAAAGTGTTTATAAAAATATTTTGATTATTACAATTTTCACATTTCGATATTTCAGTTTTTTCAAACAGAACACCCTATATTTTATTACTGCATCTTATTCTATTTTTAGTTCTTTTATTTTTTTAAGAGACAGACTGATATTAGAAGAACGAGGACAAAAAATATAGTAAGGTACAGTAATAAAATATAGGACATTTCATTTGAAAAAATTAAAATATCGGGCTGCAGAAGCGTTATTTACGTCACTGGTTTTTACAAAACAAAAATCGCAAAATCAAGTTTTATAATTTTTCAAAGTGGGGTTTATTGGAATATACTTCAGGGCGAGAGAAGTTCTGTCGAAATAACCTTCGACCAATTTTTTGGCTTATTCCAAATTCCAAAAACAATGAATGTATATTTACGATCATAATTTTCTTTTCAGAATTTCACGGTACGACCTGGTACAATCGACAGAGGAAAAGATTACGAAGTTTTCAACATTGCCAACATAATCCTGAATCTGTTATCTGACGACAACCTAAAGGATTTCAAAATTGCTTCTAATGCTGCCGGTTTTGGTGATTTTGATGATATTGTCTTAGAAGTGGAATATGAAGATGGTAGTAAAGAGGAGTACCTGGTTCAGCTAAAACACGTGCAACAAGACAATAAGATGTTAGTGCTTGATAGTTTAGTCAAGGACAACGGAAAATATAGCATAAAAAAGTACTTCAATAGCTATAGAAAGGACATTAAACCTAAAAATAATAATTCAAAAATGGTATTCTACACAAACTTAAAACTTAATGAAGTAGATTTCAAAATTCCATTCCAAACCTCCAACGTAGAAATCAGTCCTATTGAAGAAGAAAACAAATGGCTGGTTACAAGCGCCGAGAAAAAACCAGTCAGATTTGTTATAGAAAAACCATCAGATGTAGACGAACTCTATGAAGAGTTTTTCAACAATTTTTTGCTCTACACAAATCAGGCTAACACGAAGCAGATAAGAAATGATCTGTCAGAAAAATTTTGCCGACTTTTCAACTGTGAGCAAGATGCATGCGAAAAATATATTCAATTTGTTAGTGAATGGAGCAAAAAAGAAGGAAAAAAACAAAAACTGACTAAACTTTGGATCCGCCAAGTTATTGCTGCTTGTTTGCTGTCGCAATATATTAATCCAGTGTCTAACATCAAAGTTAAAGACAAATACTTACCCTTAACACAAGCCATGGACAAGTTTCATTTAACAGCATTTCCAGCAGAAGAAACGAATAAAGTGGCCGAAATATGGGAACACTCTGAAGATTACACAGACTGTTTGCGAGATTTTAATATAATGAGGCAGAAGTTTCATCTAAAAATGCAAAATATCACCAAACGTAACCTTTCGAAGCTTCCAGATAAATCGTTATTGTTGTGGTTAGGAAACAAATGTCCACTAGTGATCTTCGAAAATCCAACCACCACGGCAGCTATAAAACTATACCCCGAAGGAAAATACATTGTAATGGAAAACGATGACGTTTCTTCAGAATTTAAACAGAAGCTAAAAGATAGATATGTTTTTCGGTGTTTATCAGATCTTGATAGAGAATCCGAAGATTATGAAAATCTTGTTGAAAAAATATCTTGCAATCTACAGGGAAGAAAAATAAGTTTGAAAGCTTTACTTGACCAACATGAAGAATTGACATCGGCTATTACCACAAACGAATTGCTTCAGATGCTGGAGACAGAAGTCTTCTCAATTGGAGAAGATACAGAAGAACTTCCAAATCCACACATTGAAAGAAACTTATCCACAACCGTCATCGACGTGAAATTTTTAAAGCAAATTCAAAAGTATGACTCAAAAATCGTTGTAGTAATTAGCTGCAATGGCAAGAAAGAAAAAATTCAAACGTATTTGGAAAATTTCGAGTTAATCAAAGTCGAAAATTATATCAGTTCGAACATGAAGCTTAGTAATGATAGCAAAATTGTATTTTACACTGACAAAGAATGTTCGCAAGAAGATTTTGACATAATCTGCCACAAAAACAAAGCAATCAAAGATTGCCACCACTTTCGCATCACCGATGAAGGACATTTGGAATGGATCAAAAGCAAGAACAACATTGAGGAACTAGAACCATTTTTGGGCTCCGATGGGTCTATCAGTGAATCTGAAATATACAACTTACCACCAGGCAACAACATCAACGTAATTTGTGCCAATCCCGGTATAGGAAAATCTGTTTTGACGAAAAGTCTAAAAAATAAATTATCCACGCGATACTGGATTTTAATCATCAACCCGACAGACGTTTCGGCATTCTTTAGACACAAGCAAAGTATAACATTTGACAACTATATTGAAACCAAAATGTTGGAAAAATACAAAAATTTTGATAAAACTGTAATGTCAGCTTTCAAAAAGAAGAACATGATAAGTTATATTTGGGACGGCTTGGACGAGATATCTGACGAAAATCTGAAAAAGGTTTTAGATGCCATTGACGCTTTATCAAAGAAAAATGTTTTGCAGTGGATAACTTCTAGATGTCATCTCCAAGACAAATTAGAAAAGAGATTCAACGTATTCTCTCGAACAATTCAGCAGTTCGACGACAAACAGCAAGAACATTATATTCGTGAACGACTTCAAAATGCTTGCAATGAAGAATGTGTTAAGAAAATAAGAGACAATATTGAAATCATACATTGTCAAGAAGCTTTAGCTATTCCATTGCAAATTTATATGTTGACAGAACTGTTCTTACGAGATCCGGAAAAGTATCAAAAATTACTGACAGATACGTTTTCTCTAGCAGACTTGTACCACCATTTCGTGAACGAAAAGTTTAATAATTTTTACAAAGAAAAGGCAAACATAGAGGAGCCAAACGATTCTCTGCGACAAATATTGCTGACGTACAAAGAAAGTTACATTAAGAAATACGAGAAAGCTGCTGTTGCGTTATTAAACGAATCAAACTTGCAAGTGGACTGTGACAAATTCTTAACGAAAATTAAAGAAGAACGCGACGCTTTTGGCTTGATTGTTGACGTTTCCGACAACATGCAACCCATATTTGTACATAATTCTTATGGTGAATATTTTATAGCGTGTTACTTTTTCAAGAACTATGGAAAAGTTGCTAATCTAAAAAATATTCTTTTCAAAGAAAGATACACCAATATCAGATTCCTTTTTGATTTACTCATGGCAAAAGACTCTGAAGTTCATGTTGCAGTTTTATACAAAAACTTAGACGTTCTGAAGAAAAATGAGGAATCTTTGAAGAGAAAAGATCGTGCAGGACGTAATGCTTTGCAAGTGGCTTGTACTTGGGGACAGAGATATCCTCTATTGATTACTACGGCTGTAGAGGAAGAAGCTGATACTTATCAGATAAATGAGAAACTTGGAGACTCTGTTGAAGAAGAAAATTCCAATTATCAGGAAATTATCAACTATTTGTCAGATAAATGTGACCTCGAAGAGAAAGACAAGCTGTTCCAGATGGATTGTGCGCAGTACGCAGACACCGCAATGTGCCTATTTCCCATAAGTCAGATAGCGCCGAAGAAGAAGTTAGACATTAACAGCTTATCCAACTTCAAAGACTTAGGCAGTTTGCTATACTATGGGATAAAACTTGATTATGTGCATATTCTAGATCTAGTAGCAGACATTCCGTTGATTAAAACGGAGAAAAGAAGTTTAACGTTGATACATCTTTGTGCAGAATTTGATAGCATTCATTGTTTACAGAAGCTTCTGGAAATCGAAAAGTACAAACAAATTATCAACAACGTAGACATCTTTGACGTGTCAGCTGCAAGCATCGCTTGCAAAAAAGGACGTCTTGAGATACTTGAAGCGCTTATTGAGGCTGGTGCTGAGCTAAGAAGTAACGTTTTCCAGTTAATTCAGTTGGCGTGTAAAGGAGGTCATCACGAAATTGTCCATTTGTTACTCCATTATGACAATATCAGCATTAACGAAGACCGGAAAAGTATCACCGCAGCCTTGCAAACGGCTTGTTTAAGCGGGTATGACAAGATCGTTCAAATCTTGGTGGATTTTGGTGCGGACGTTAATGTAAATACTAGATATGGAACACCTTTATACGTAGCTTGCACATACGGCCATAAGGAGGTCGTAGAGATACTTTTAAGAACTAAAAGAGTTCAATTAAACAAGGGTAATAAATACGGATGTACACCTTTACATATAGCGTGTCAAAGGAATTATGTCGATGTTGTGAAGTTATTATTACTAACTTCCGCAGTGGACGTAAACGTTGCAGACAACAAGGGTCTCACACCAATACATATAGTCACGAAAAATGGAAACGAAGAACTACTGCAGCTGTTAATTGCTTCCAAAGCGGATGTCAACAAGGCTAACAAGAAAAAAATTACTGCTTTACATATTTCGTGTCAATGTGGAAAGGAAAAAATTGCTAAAATGTTAATTGACGCTGATGCTCAAGTAAACAGTACCTGTAGCGAAGGCTGTACACCCATTTTTATGGCATGTGAACATGGCGATAGGAATATTGTGAAGCTGCTTTTAGCCTCTGACGCAAATATCGCACTAGCTGACAAGAAGAACGTGCTACCCCAAGCAATTGCTGAACAAAAGGGTTTTGATGACATCAAGCGACTTCTTGACGATTTCATAGCAGAAAAAAATTTTATCCTTGGAGGTAAAAAAACAACGTAAACACGTTATTTGTTTAATTAGATCAGTTAAGATAAAATATTGTCAAGTACTCTCTGCTTTTTTTTTTCTGTATTAATTTCCAGTATTTTGATTATATTCCTTGTGTAATCTGTATTGTATCAAATAATGAATTATGTCGTAAAACTTGTTTTTATTTTTTTGTCAACATCAACATGTCTCTTTATTTCAGAAATAAAATTTGTCGCAAAACTCTAGTCGTACAATGATCATATATACAGGGTGAACTATGATGGATGATTGACTATGTTACTGAAATAGTTTTTATTTTTCAAATGGGGTTTTGTGGCGTCGCTTTATTTTCTCAGTGCAAAATAAATTAATTTTTTTAATCAGGACAACACAACGCAGAAAGTAAATTTATCTCTGCTCCATTTTTAAAGAGCATAACTAAACTTACCGTAGAAGTGAATGAGACTTGTTCAGGATGTAAAATTAGCTTCAAAATATTGTTACGAAATAAACCTATACGCCCCCCGGTAGGACGCCTATGGGTGACTCATCGTCGGTGACGCCGGCTGGAGGGCGTTCGCTAAAGAAAGCCTGGAAGCGGAAGTCGCGATGGGTGCGTGGAATAAGCATAAAAGCGGTACGGTGACAGTTTCTAGAAGGACCACGTGTCTCTTTAAATGGGAACCACCATCGGGAGCAGTCAGTGAAGTGCAGACAATGGGATCCACTCCGATTTTAAATACCCGCACAACGTAACAATATTTTAAAATGACTGTTAGAGAAAGCTATAGTTAGGAAATAGTCTTAAGTCAACAGATAAAATTTAATGTAACTATATACCGTCATGAATCTAATGGATTATGTGTTATATCGGGTGTGTCAAAAATGACGATGTTCCAAGAGGTGCAAAATTTCAAGCATTTGTTTAACACAAAAGAAAGAAAAAAAATTGTCTTTGAGTCATTTGTAAACGCTCTGGAGCTTTTGGAAATCAGACAAAATGTACCCCTAAAACTAAATGTCCTGATGTTAATAAAAGTGGAAAAATAATTTTATAGACAACTGTAAAAGATGTTAACGACAGATATTCATTTTTTTTTCTACGAACATGTTCGCAATCTTTTTCTTCCTCGGTGTTAAGTTTGGTGGAGCAGGGCAAGATATGGCAACATGCGGATTCTTGCGAATATTACCATTAACAACAAAAATATTATGAATATTTAAACGTCAAAAAAATTTTGAAATGTCGAACAAATTTGGTGCAAATTAACTTCAATATTCTACTGATAATCCCATTGATATAATAAAGGAGTGGATGGAGCCTTGTATACGTTTCCATACGCAGGCGAGTGTAATCAACATAAGAGAGAAATAGCTAGACCGGTTATGCGTCAGTGGGGAAAGGACGGCTGACTGGGTGTCACGTGCTGAGTGGCAAGAAACGCTTCATTTGCACGGGAATTAATACGTTTTCCTCCGAATTTGTTCAAACAAATTATTATAACAAACGTTTATTAATGAAAACTATATTTTCACAGCTTACATTATAATTATATATAATCTAAAATAACAGAAATCGTGTTAAGCGATGGAAATCCTCTTTTAATAAAATGAAATGTGTGCAGAATCTACAATACATTACGAATTCAGTTAATACAACAATCTTCTACAAGTTACCGAAATCTAATAGTGTACAATAATTGTTTTTTCAAGCTAACATTTGGAAATCTGAATTTTTAGGATAAAAGTAATTAAACTTTCGGAAAAACTAACAGTTTGACTAATTTAATTAAACATATTAAATTGTGTGAATTCTCTACCAAGATCAATTTTTTAAATTCACGTACAATTAACTAACACAATAACCAAAAATGAGTTAAAAAATAATAATATTGATTAATGAGTAAAGTAAGTGTGTTTAGGTACCTTGTTGGAAATGAACGCCTTCGCTTAAGTATTCTTCTGTTTTTTTTATTTTTGCATAAATGTTCAGGAAAATTAAAGACGCTGGGAATAACATCTTTCTTCAATTGTCTTTTACCAAAATGGATTATGAAATCTGATTCTAGAAAATGTTTTCCACAAATACGAGTATTTTCAGTAGGTATAAAATCCTCCCTTTTTGTAGCTATAATCCATTTTTTTCGTAATTCGGGATGTTTAGGGAATCTAACAAAATTTTTATATTATGCGAAATCCTTCGTTTGTATACAACATGTAATTACTACCTGTGAAATGAAATAAAATTGCTTCCGTTTGCACGTTCCGTGCAGTTATATGCACAACACGATTTCACCATATTTAACAAATAGTTCGATAAAATGCAACCTAAGAACACTACTAATTTGAATAATTGTAACTTGAGTCCACTAAAGGTAATTTTGCAAACAAAACACCTTCACACACCATGCGAGAACACGAAAGAAACCTCCCAGAAACACATTGCCGGGCAGTTTCGCGCCAATGTGTTGCCACCCAAAGAAACCCATCTCTGTCCGACTGTGTTGACAACGCGCATCTCTCTCTAAGTTACTTCCATATAATATTATTTCTATGGATAATCCACATCAGATTGAAATGGGTTATCAATATCGCTTTTCTCTGTACATCTGGGTTGGGATACTTTGAAATCTCCAGATACGATCTCATATCCTGCCTACTCGTTTAATAGGTGATGTTTTTCTAAATTGTTTGCAACATTATCTCGACAGTTGATGATCTAAACGATGTTCCATTAGAAATTAGAACAAACATGTAAATGCGGTGCTGGACCACATTTTGCTATTCCGATTAAGAAGGTAGCTTAATGAAAATTATCCCAACAAATGGATTGGACATGGCCAGCCAGATCACCCGACTTCAGTCCTGTTGATTTCTTATCCTGGGATCACATTAAAGATCTAGTATATCAAACACCGCCACCAACAATGGAAAATTTAAAGGAACAAATCTTTCACGCTGTCAATACAATTTCGGGGGAGATGTTCCAAAGAATCCCGACGAATATGAGAAGACGTTGTGATGCATGTTTATTTTTGCATATTTACTTTAATTTTTCTACTAATTTTTCTTTATTTGTCATTAAACTTACAAAATACTTGCTTCATTATTTAAGCAAATCATTATCGAGTAGAAAAAAGAAAACATTGTCCAGAACTCGATTTCGACAAAATTAACAAATTTTCGTCCTTGAAAATAATGCACAAGATTACATCAAAAATTCGGCGCGAGCACATCATCTGTAGCATCACGCGTCAGTGATCTGTAGCGTAATGCACATCTTTGACAAGAAAAAGTAAAGGACATTTTTTCTCAAAATCGTAGTCTATGGGACACTCGGAACCTAAATCCCCTTCCGTCCTTTTTGACACACCCGATATAAGTCATAGCCTTAGACTGAACAGATGCGAAAAAAGAAGCAAACCGCCAGTGCAATGATTTTCCTTCAAGTTACATCTTCCGCGTGTAATGACTCCTTGTGAAGTGCAACGCGGCGGATTTAGTTGACATACTTAAGTTAGTTCTGTTTGTATCTTCATGAAATAAAGACCTTTTTTAAAACTTGAATCGATTGATTTACGAGTTAACTGGCGCAGTCGGTAGGATTGTCAAAAACAGTTTCCGAACGTGATTTCGAAAATTTGGAAATTGTGAAAATCCGGGCCGTTGTCCGTTTTAACGATTAACCGACGATTGAACTTTTCTTGAAGACTAGAAAAGCTCAAAAACCAAGAAATTCGAACATCGTCCAACGGTTTCACCGGTGCGGATCGAAGACTTACATCGTCAAAAGTCCATAGTTAAATCTCCAGAGAACGGACAAACATTGCCATTCTTTCTGGATTTAGAAATTAGAAAAATGAAAATAGTCATATTCCAGTAAACACAGTTACGTCGTAGCGATGTTAATGCCACTTAACTCTGTCTACGATCTTGTTAGCTGTTACATCCCATACTGCGTACATGTGCTTTCCGCCAATATAACGTATTAAATGGACATAGACGTTACGTATATATCGCAACATCGTAAACATATGACTCTCAGTATATTTTATTAACATGATCTGTGCGATATGAATAGGCATTTCAAAAAGTTTAGTTACCATTTATATGTATCATTTAGGGATATGCATATGAAGAGTAAAATTTAGAGCTAACAATCAATTATTATTTTATTCAAGGTTTGCAACGTTTTATGGCAAAGCGTCTCACTTTCAAAAACAATCACCGTAAGTTCTTCAAAATCAGCGGGAGTATCTTCAGTGATTAATGGTAGTATTTCCAGCTTATCTAAAAAACCGTTTTTAGATAAGTATAAATACAATCCACACTGAATGGCAGAAATTTTCACAAAACTGCATTAAAAATGAAGTGAGTTACGGATCCATGAGAAAAGTTCGGTGGTTGTGAACCAAATGGCCAGATGGAATTCGAAAGCGTCACTGTGAGTGTGAAGTGCAATAAACATAAATACTGAAAAAAGGGATGGTCCGACAGCACCTCCCAAACATCTGGTGGATAGTAAATGCAGAAGTTGTGCGTTATTTTTTCATTAGATGAAATAAATTTAATAAAATTAAAAATTAACCACTCTCTAATTTTTTCGGACCCATCATCCTTTTATAATTGTCTTTATACTCGTATAATCAAAATTCGACGAATGAACTCTTCAAAACCTTGTCCCGTTTCAAGGACAATGGACAAAGAATTTTTATGACTTTGTTTGTGTCGGTGGGTCTTCCCTATATTACCCCAGATGTTCTATTTATAATTTGCCAAGCAGGTACTTACAAAATAACACTTCAAGTGAACAAGTTTACAGAAATAATTCGTAGAAATTATTACAATGAAAAAAACTTGTCTTTGGTGTATTTCTAATAAAGCCGTTGTATTTTTCGCTCTGAATATAATTATTAATTAAGCATTACGAACTCACTGACGAAGGCCACTTTTTAAAGTATACGACGACCCACATCTAATTGACCATATAATCTTCAACAATAAATTTTAAATCTATACTTCTATACTTATATAATAAAGCTGAAGCTTTTGTTTATTTGATCACGCTAATCGCAGAAACTACTGGTTCAAATTCAAAAAATCTTTTTGTGTTGGATAGTCTATGTATCATATCTACATATAGGATATATAACATCACGCTACGATCATTAGGA